AAGACCTTGTCTCTACAAAAAATTTAAAAAATTAGCCAGGTGTGGTGGCACATGCCTGTAGTTCAGCCACTCGCAGGACTGAAGCAGGAGGATGGCTTGACCCCAGGAGTTGGAGGTTATGGTGAGCCATAATTGTGCCACTGTACTGTAGCCTGAGTGATAGAATGAGACCTTATATCAATAATAAAAAACAAAATAAGCTGAGCGTGGTAGCTCACCCCTGTAATCCCAGCACGTTGGGAGGCAAGAGGATTGCCTGAGCCCATGGGTTCGAGACCAGCCTGGACAACTTGGCGAGACCTTGTCTCTACAGTAAATCAAAAAATTAGCCGGGCATGGTATCCTGTGCCTATGGCTCTAGCTACTTGGAAGGCAGAGGCAGAAGGATCGCCTGAGCCCAGCAGAGTGAGGCTGCTAGGCCGAGAGCGTGCCAGGGCACTCCAGCCTGGGCAACAGTGAGACTCCGACTCAAAAAAATAAAATAAAAATGATCTGATCTACCCTGTTTGATTGTAGGTGATAAGACCCTCATTCCAGATATGGTCCTGTCCTGTACTCAGAAGAAAGGAATACACGCTCAGAGACAAGAATCTAGATAGACAGGTCTTACTAGATTTCCCCACTCAGTCTATTAACATTAGATCTTACCCTTTTTGTCCAATCATATTCATGATGGCTCATACCCAAGCATAAGAATAAACTGTCTTCCCTGTATCTTTGGGTCTTCATTCTGAAGACTCCCATGTCATGTAAAAACATGATCAAATAAATTTATATGCTTATTCCCCTATTTTTCTGCCTCTTGTCAATGATTTCCAACAAAGCTTCAGAGGACAAAGGGAAAGTTTTCCCTCAGGGAGCTTACTTGGGTTTGTGAATTATTCCTGATGTTATCAAGATTTTGTTTATGGCTATAGATAAATGCCATCTAGAACAGTAAACATAGGAGATGCTCAGTTATTTGAATAAATTAAATAAAACTGGGAAAGTATGAATGAATTTTTCACCTAGAGATCATCTTTTTAAATGCCATGATCTTCTAAATTGTAGGATTAAAATTTTTTTCTTATAAAAATGATACAAGTTATTTGTTTAAAAATTTGAAATTATTAAAAAGAAACAAGAAAGAAAACAGTGGTCTACTTCTAGACTATTTTGAAGCACATATACAAAATTTGATAATTTGTATTTGGGAGAAATTAATACATTTTAAATTATTTATTGATTTATAATATGCATTATTTTCATGCATGGTACTGTGCAGTTTGATATATTTCACAAAGTGAACACACCCAACTAATAGAACCCAAATTTCAAAAAAACCAGACTGGGCTCGGTGGCTCAGTCTGTAATCCCAGCACTTTGGGAGGCTGAGGTGAGTGGATTGCCTGAGCCTGCGGGTTCGAGACCAGCCTGGGCAACTTGGCGAGATCTCTTCTCTACAATAAGTAAAAAAATTAGCCAGACATGGCAGTGCGCGCCTGTAGTTCTGGCTACTTGGAAGGCTGAGGTGGAAGAATCACTGGAGCCCAACAGGTCAACGCTGGGGTGACTTTGAGTGTGCCACTGCACTCTAGCCTGGGTGACGGAATGAGACTCCAACTCAAAAAAAACAAAACCACCAGTACCCTAGAAGCTTCCTTCTATCACTGCCACTTTTCTGATCTCTAACAGCAGATTTGACTACTTTTGTGCTTTATATGAATGGAACCATCCGGTATGTACATAGTTCTAGCCTGCTTATCTTAATATCATGCAGAATAATATTTAGTGATATGCTTACGACAGTTTTAATGGCTGCATGGTATTCTATCACATATACATACACCAAAATTTATTTAATAAGTCCTTTGTGCATTTATGTAGCTTGCAGTTTTTCACTTAGTAAGTAACACTGTGATGAATAGACATCTTTGAATGCATCACTGATTATTTAAATTCTTAGACATGGAATTGCTGGGCAAAGATATACAATTCTAAGTTATTTGATGTGTATTTCCAAATTGCCCTGCAAAAGACTGTACCAAAATTACATTTCTACCAGCAATGAAGGAAGTAGCTATTTTTTTAAAATCACTATCAACATCTTAAAAGTATCCACCATTTGATTATTATCATTTAAGAAGACATGTCAATTTCAGTGTAGTAGAAAACTGGTATCTTACTGCTCTAATTCAAACGATTTATAGTACAGTTGAACATTTTTTCATAGACTTATTGACTATTTGCCTCTTTTTGTGAATTATTTTTATGTCCTTCTGTATCATGTTTCCTTCTTGACTCCCCCCCCCCTTTCTAGACACTGGGATCAAACTAGGTATCTTATGTTTGCAACATATAACAGGGTGATGAGAGTATAGAGCCAGATTGTTAAGGGAAACTAGGAATTTGAGCCACATTTGCACACAGGTCTTTACAGGCATCCACTTCGGGCTTCATAACTGTACTCAGGAGTCTGTTTGACTGATTTGCATTAAGGGTATGTGGTAGAAGAGGCTGTCTTTCTGAAATTAGATTTCAGTGTATCTGGAAGTCGTTCTCTAAAAGGCCGCAGCCACAGTATGCTGTTGTCCTTCCCCTCTACAAGAAAGAGATGTGTGTAAAAGTAAAGCAGTTGAACAGAAGCAGTTTAGATGTGGATTAGGAACAGGGAGGATTGCCAATGGCAGAGAGGTAGAAGAAGATCAAAAAGTAGTTTACCTCCATATTCCATGGGATTTTCACGTGCCACGGGGTTATCTTTTTATTTATTTGCCTATTTTTAGAAAAATGTTTGACAATAATGTGGAGAAAGACAGAAACCACTTGGGATACCCTTATAACTGGTCCAGGTGAAAGAACCATCTGACCTGAAGCAGCAGCTACAATTGATGACAAAAAAGGGACAGAACTGAGAACATTTTCATGAAGATATTGAGTCATCAATAAACGTTTAAATTATGTTCCTTGTAATTTATTTCTAAAATATTTACTTTGACTGTCCATCACAAATAAGGTAGTAAATGTTTGACATGAGAAGGGCTATTGCGAGTATTGAAATTTGCTTTTGTGTGGCAGCCTTGTTTTCTGATGATGTCAGATAAATGAGGCATTTAGATTAAATGTGATCTTTAGCCTTGGACAGCTCTTACTCTTTTGAGATGACATTTTGAAACAAGTGAAATGGAACATCTAAAGACTTTTTGTATCCGTTTTCTCTGATTAAGAAACTCAGCCTGTAATCCTGCGCCTTTGGGAGGCTGAGGTGAGTGGATTGCCTGAACCTGCGGGTTCGAGACCCACCTGGGCAACTTGGTGAGACCTCATCTCTACAGTAAATCAAAATGAGCCGGGCGTGGTAGTGCGCGCCTGTAGTTCCAGCTACGTGGAAGGCTGAGGTGGAAGGATCGCCGGAGCCCAGCGGGTCGAGGCTGCGGTGGCCGGGAGCGGCCACTGCACTCCAGTCTGGGTGACGGAGTGAGACTCCAACTCAAAAAAAAAAAAAGAAACTGAGGGGAAAGAGATTTAAATAACTTCTTACTGAGGTAATATACAATGTTGGCTATGGAATCCATGTCAAAACTGACTGGTTACTACATTTGCCCCCCTTCTGTCTCTAAAATGTACTTACTGCTAATATTTCTCTGAGAAAAGGGGAAGAATGGAATTGTCAATTTTACATACTCATTATATTGCTCTTCAAATTCATACTCATTCAGAATGAGTTCAAGCATTGTGTACAACTTTCACTGTATAATTTTATATCTAAAAAAAAAAAAGGTAGCCAAGCTCGGTGGCTCAGCCTGTAATTCCAGCACTTTGGGAGGCCGAGGTGAGTGGATTGCCTGAGCCCGTGGGTTCGAGACCCATCTGGGCAACTTGGCGAGACCTCATCTCTACAATAAATCAAAAAATTAGCCGGGCGTGATAGCGCGTGCCTGTAGTTCCAGCTACTTGGAAGGCTGAGGCGGAAGGATCACCGGAGCCCCAGCAGGTCGAGGCTGCGGTGGCTGGGAGCGGCCACTGCACTCCAGTCTAGGCGACAGTGAGACTCCAACTCAAAAAAAAACCAAAACATTGCATTTAATGTAGTAAAGATGCTGGCCTTCAATAATTTATTTTTGGAAATGTTTTGAATCAGTTCCCACCAGTGGAGAAAGAGATGAAATGGATCCCTCATCAGAGCTATATATAAGCTTGTAACTCAAAGCTGGTGATGAAAAAACAAGGACAAAGTATCACTCTCTTCTGTCTTCTTTCTAAGGACAAGTTTTAGAAATTGAAATGTAATCCTGCCCATTAGACCTTATGACAAAAAAAAAAAAAACCACTCACGTGACTTGTTACTTGATTTTTTTTTTTTAACGAAAAATGTTGCTTCCGCTTTATTCAGAATACTTGGTAGGTAATAAAAGGTTTGCTGACTGTAGAATTCATTGACTTAAATAAGAGTTCCGATACTTTTCAATATGGATGTCCTTCTGCTTCATCCCCTAAACTTAATAACATTAATATAGGATTTCTCCTTTCAAAGCACATTTTTTTTTTAGTTGCCATCAATTGCCTGCTATGTGCTTATTACCAAACCAGGAACTTTATACATATTACCTAATTTTTGCAACAGCTGTATGTGAAGTATTATTATACATATTTTATAGTGAAGGAAACAGGCTCAAGAAGTTAAATCATGTATAACTAATAAGAGAAAGAGCCAGGATTCCAACTGTGGCCTAATTAACTCTTACCACCTACGTCTATTGTATATGGCATTGCCTTTCAAAACTGAATCTTACACAAACATCTTGTTTGTTTTTAAGAATTTACACACAAATATGAGCATGAATAGATACATCATATATGTGAAAGACAAAAAGTCTCCATACCAAAATGTTCTTTGTGGTTATTTGTGGATAGATGGGTGATTTTAAAAAGTTTCTTTTTTTGTATTTATCTGTATTTTCTACAAACATTTTATTTTGTAATAAACTGTTTATGTTACATATTGAACTTAAAGTAATGGAGACATGATTTTTTTATGTGACTTATTTTTAATTTTTTGTTACCCATTTCTAGACCAATTGGCCTTATTTCCTCAGTGGAAATCTAGTCACTATGATGTGGTAGTTGGTGTGTTGTCAGCTCGCAATAATCATGAACTTCGAAACGTAATAAGAAGTACCTGGCTGAAACATTTGCTGCAACATCCTGCATTAAGTCAACGGTAAGTTTTTTGAATTGTTACATAGCCTGGTTTACTGAAATAAGAATTTCAAAAAAATCTTATTTTGAATAGTCAGAGATGTTAATTCAGATATGTGGCCTTTTTTCCTGGGAGAAATGGCTGTTTCATTTGCTTTTCTTCTATGTAGTTGGGCCAAAAAGTAAGTTTAAACAATATTTTAAGCCAGAAGATAGTTGGAGAAGAGTATATTCACTGGTTAACAGATGTAGTATTTATAGATACCAAGTGTGGTTGGTTTGTTTTTTACTTTGACTTAGAATAGCAATTCTTGAAAGGTTTTATTCCCTAATTATTCTCTGCTTAGACATGTTTGCATCTAATATACTTTTCACTAATTTCACAAAGATAAACTTATTTTTTTTGTTTTGTAGTATTTTTTAGTTGTGTGAGCTGCAGTGTATGTAATATGCCATGCTCTTTTTGCTGACTACCCTCCCAGAACTGAGCTTTGGTAGTCGTCTCATACTGACATTAGATGGCTCAGGTATTAGTTGGGACCCAAAGCCTTAGTCTGTTCTCCACGAGACTAACCTCTGAAGTTTATGTCGTGAGGAGCTAGGGAAAAAGACACACAGAAATTTGGACTTCTAGTTATGTGAAGACATTTAGGTGAGAAACAGAGAAGGCCCTCTTGGGATTACATTAAACTAGCATATTTGCAACTGAGTAGATATACAAATGAATTGCAGTTGTGGATTTTCTTGTCATCTGAAGCGATCTTGCTCATAGCAATTTTCATTCCTTTTCAAGACAGATTTCTTTAGTTCATGATCACAATGATAATAGAACCTATTACCCAGCAAATGCAAGGCCTCAGAGTCATCAGTACTATCAGAACCACCTCCAAAATCTGCACTTGCCATAGTCTTTCCCATTTTGGAAAATAATAACTTCTCTACCACTTTCTCTAACCAGAAGCCTTGTGTTATCTTGATTCTTCTTTGTTCTTACCTCAGGGCCTTGCGCCTAACTATTCCTCCTGCCTATACCAGTAAGTGTGGTGAGGATGGCCCACTTCCTTCGGGTCTCTGTTTAGATTCCCCCAGCAGACAGCCCCATGTTAAATAGCACCTGACCCCTGTCCTGTCTCTTATCTTCCGTTAGTTGGCTTTATTTTTCTTTATGACACATATCCCTGCCATCTTTATTCTATTTAGTTGTATATTTATAAATTGCCTGTCTTTCTCTGCTAGAATGTAGGTTTCATGAGCTCTGAGGCTTCAGTTTTTTTCATTGGTGTGTTCGCAGTACCTACAGTGTAGCTTGACACAGGATAAGGCACAAAATAACTGTTGAATGAATGACTCAGAACTAAATATAAGAGTAAAGTTAATATTTAGATATTCACCAGTAATTTATTTGCCATCTTAGCAGTCTTGCTTTAAATTTAATAAGGTAGGTTTATGTTATGCAAATGATAGGCTTGCTATAAAAGTAGATATTAGGTAACTTCCTGGGACACAATAATTTTATGGATCCAGTAAAAGTTTCAGATGACTTAAAAAAAAACAATTTTGAGCCGGGCTCGGTGGCTCAGCCTGTAATCCCGCGCCTTTGGGAGGCTGAGGTGAGTGGAATGCCTGAGCCCGCGGGTTCGAGACCCGCCTGGGCAGCGAGACCTCATCTCTACAATAAATCAAAAAATCAGCCGGGCGTGGTGGCGCATGCCTGTAATTCCGGCTACTTGGAAGGCTGAGGCGGAAGGATCGCCGGAGCCCAGCAGGTCGAGGCTGCGGTGGCCGGAAGCGGCCACTGCACTCCAGTCTGGGTGACAGAGTGAGACTTCCACTCAAAAAAAAAAAAAAAACAATTTTGGTAAATAGTAGTTTAGTTAGCACATTTATTCATGTCTGTTTATACTTTTAGTTCAAATGCTAGTTGTCTATGAAACATATTCTGCCTTGATTGGTCATTAATAAAAGAGAGTGTATTTCTGTGTTATGACATACTTTCCAATCTTGCATTTCACCAAAGGAGCCAAACTTAACATATATTTTGAGAACTTTACTTAATTCTAAGCCTTTCTAATAAAACCACAGTTTGTCAATTTAACATTTTCTTCTGCAGGTAATGTACTATGTGTGGTAGAATACAAAGATGGTTACAGTATAGTCTGAATGTGTGTGTGACAGTCTTGATGTTTAGCAGAAGGAAGTAGTATAAGAAAATGTTACATGTGCTGTGATATAAAGAGATATAAAATAGCCTGGAGTGTTTGAGAAACTACAGTTGTATGTAACTGGAGCACAGGGATTATGGTGAGGAGGGGGAGCTGTGGTTGAATGTGGGAAAGAGAGCCAGGGAGGAGGGAGGGGCAGAGAGAGAAATTTACATAAAGAGAGAGGAGGGTGAGCATATTACTATGAGAGACAGACAGTGCCCTGGTTATGCAGAACATTTTGTGGAGGGGTGAGTGGAAGAGTGAGACCTGCTTAGGCTGCTGAGGGGCTGAACTAAGATGGTGACCTTATAAGAGAATAAGGTCATTGAGTGTAGAAAGAAGAGGAAGAATCTAGAATGGTTGCTAGTGTTGTCACTTGGCGAATAGTAGTATCGTCAACCAAGACAAAAATACTAGATAAGAACAGCAGGTTTCAATGGAAAGAAGCTCAATTATAGATATGTTGAGTTTGAGGTACCTGCAGGCAATAGTATACTGGTAAGGTTTTACTAACTGGCACTCTGGGGGGAAAAAAGTATGCTTATATGTATGAATATGTTTGTTATAATTTTATCGATATGAAGGATGTGTAGCACATAATTGACAGATAACCTATATGATACTCTTGATTAAAAATTTCGTGAAGCCAGTGGATTCTCATAGAATGCTTTCATTGTTTGCCAGAATCTTGTATCTGTACCAAATTGCAACCAGAATCTTGCAGCTGACAAAGGAGTATAGTTGGTTTTTTTGTTGTTGTTTATTTTTATTTTTTACTTTTTTGAGTTAGAGTCTCACTCTGTCACCCAGACTGGAGTGTAGTGGCCACTCCCGGCCACCACAGCCTCTACCTGCTGGGCTCCGGCAATCCTTCTGCCTCAGCCTTCCAAGGAGCTGGAAGGACCTACAGGCATACACTACCATGCCCGGCTAATTTTTGATTTATTGTAGAGATGAGGTCTCGCCAAGTTGCCCAGGCGGGTCTCGAACCCATGGGCTCAGGCAATGCACTCACCTCAGCCTCCCAAAGCACGGGATTACAGACTGAGCCACCGAGCCCGACTGGAGTATAGTTTTGATAAATCTTTCTTTTAAGTTAAAGACTTAAGACTAAGATGACAGCTAAGATATGTCAGAACTTTACTCTTAGTCTATTAAGTCAGTGACTTCTTGGCTGAGTCAGACAATACTTTTTGAACAGTAGAATAGTATTTCCTTGATTATTTTTGTACTATTCGCAGCGTCATGCCTGTAGACACATCATAATTAAGTTTAATCTGCATTAACATTTTCTCCAACTTTAAGTCTAGACAGTCAACAGAACAATGTGTCAAGCTTTTATTTGTATTGTTTGCCAGTTTCTGTGGTGTAAATATTTCCACCATGGCCAATTTCAAGCAATTTATGTTATGTCACTAAACACAGAGTTGGAGAAAAATAACCAGTAGTATACCATATGTAATATTTCTACCATGTAAATATAATAGACATTAATAACCTCAAGAGCATAGATAACATATAGTAAGATAACTGTAAAATGATTAGTTTGAGTATTTCCTTTGTTTAATGTATTTAACTGTAAGTGTAATAAATGCTATGTTTAATAACCATCTCATAAATTTTCTGAAAATTTACCAATTGGCTCTCACAAGACAAGCAGGCTTCAGCACACAACTGTCTGTGGTTCATCTAGGTGAAGATGCCCACTGAGTTTATGAATCTTTTACTTAGAATATAGATCCAAGCCGGGCTCGGTGGCTCAGCCTGTAATCCTGCGCCTTCGGGAGGCTGAGGTGAGTGGATTGCCTGAGCCCGCGGGTTCGAGACCCGCCTGGGCAGTGAGACCTCATCTCTACAATAAATCAAAAAACCAGCCAGGCAGGTAGCGCATGCCTCTAATTCCGGCTACTTGGAAGGCTGAGGCGGAAGGATCGCCGGAGCCCAGCAGGTCGAGGCTGCAGTGGAAG